CGCTTGCACAAAACACATGGGTTTCATGGAGCTGCTAGCTGCTTGGCACTCCTGTCTGTTAATCATTTATTTAGGTGCTGAAGCTTGAGTGTTGGCCAGTCAACCTCCTTCTTCCTTAATATGCTTCATCCCCAAGAGGTAGTCTCTTGGCCTTTGAAGCACATCCTCAGCTTTGGATTGTGTGAAATTTACATTGCATTTTGAGACACAAGTTGAAATTTCTCATGTTCAAACACATACCATATAATAGATCCATGACATTAATATTAATTTTCTAAGACAGTCTCTATTAAAAGGGTAATTCTATTAACATCTACAGAAGCAGATGTCTTCTACTTTGACCTCCTGAATTTCTTTATTCTTTATTCTCCTAAGGAGAAGGCGGATTTCTCCGAAGTAAGACTTGCTAGTTGGCACCTTGTATTCAGCTTGTCCTGAAAATGTGATGAGAAATGACTGTTTTATTTTTGGAAGTATTCTTGCTGCTGCATGTCTCAGGCATGAATTGTCCAGGCATCAGCACTTCTCCTGAAGTTGGTAGGAATGGAGGCAAGAGTAATGTCAACGTGCTACGCTGTACAGATACTTGTATTTATAAGTATTATTAGGGGAAAGCATGCTTACGAACCAGGTTGTAAATATCTGTGGAAATTACACAAGAAATCTGTGCAAAGTTCTTTGCCACCTTTCCAGGGCTACTTGATGCATCTGGCAAATGATGCAGCATTTGAAAGATCTGTTCCCATGTTCAATGTGAATTTTGAATTCCTTTTTTGAGAACGTTAGTTGATTGTGATCTCTAAAAAGACTTGTGTGGAGCTGAAGTTGAAAAGGAAGCATAATCTAGAGATTCATACAACCACAAAGAGTGGGAACAGGCTGCCTGGGCAGCTCAGATATTCCTTTAATGTCCTGTGTTCGCATTGTAGTCCTTACTTTCACCTGGCCTGACTCTGTCCACAGGTTCTGTAACATTTGTTGTCTTTATAAATACTCCACTATTCAGGGAGTTAACAGCAAGAGGAGGTCTAAAGAAGACATTGGTCTAGTACTGGTTGGAGATGGTCACATGACTAATGAGGATAAAGAAAAAGTGGAGGCATTCAATATGGTTTTTGCCTCAGTCTTTAATAATACCAAGAGACCTTGGGCTGCCTGATCTCCTGAGTCAGAGGACCACGAGTGGCATGCCATTTGTGGGCACTGAAGTTGTAGAGCCACAGCTGAATGTTCACAAGTCCTTGTGGTTTGATGGGGTTCACCCCAGAGTACTGCAGGAGATAGCAGATATTATAGCAGGACCCCTCACGATCACCTGCCAAAAGTCTTGGGAGTCTGGGGAGGTCCCTGCTGGCTGCAATCTAGCCAGGGTTACTCCAGTCCACAAAAAGGATATGAGGGAAGACCCATGGAGCTACATACCCGATAGACTAACCTTAGTGCTTGGAAAAATTAGGGAGATTATTATAGTGGGTGCTGTTGAAAGGCATTTAAAGAATAATGCAATCATCAGGCACAATCAACATGGGTTCACAAAGGGAAAGTTTTGTTTAACTGACTTGATATTTTCCTATGGTAAGGTCACCTGCCTAGTGGGTGAAGGGAAGGAGATGGCTGTAGTTTTTCTGGATTTTAGTAAGGCTTTTGATGTTGCCCCTCACAGCATCCTTCTGGCCGAGTTGTCCAGCTGTGGGGTGAGGAGGTTCACAGTGTGCTGGGTGAAGAACTGGGTGAATGGCAAAGCTCAAAGGGTTGTAGTGAATGTGGCTACATCTGGCAGGCAACAGGTCACCAGCGGTGTTCCTCAGAGCTCAGTTCTAGGGCCAGTGATGTTCTGCACCTAAGATGGAGTAATGCTGGGCACAAAGATAAATTGGGAGAGGAGTGGCTGGAGATCAGCCCTGCAGAGAAGGATCTGGGGGTGCTGGTCGACAGCAGGCTCAATGGGAGCCAGCAGTGTGCCCTGCTGAGGGGCCCCCCAAGAGGGCAAACCGCATCCTGGGGTTCATCAAACAGCATGACCAAGAGAGGGGATTATGGGGCTGTATTCAGCACTGGTGTGTCCTCACCTGGAGCACTGTGTGCAGTTCTGAGCCCTGTTGTTGAAGAAGGATGTGAAGATCCTTGAATGTGTCCAGAAGATGGCAACAAAGCTGGTGTCAGGGCTGGAAGTTATGTCCTGTGAGGAGCGGCTGAGGTCTTCGGGCTTATATTGTTTGGAGAATAGAAGGCTGAGGGGTGACCTCATTGCTCTCTGCAGCTTCCTGAGGAGGGGACGTGGAGAGGGAGGTGCTGAGCTCTTTTCACTGGGATCCAGGGGCAGGATGTGTGGTGATGGTTCAAAGCTGCGCCAGGGGAGGTTTAGGGTGGATGTTAAGAAGTATTTTTTTACTGAGAGGGTGTTCAAACAGTGGAACAGGCTTCCTGGGGAGGTGGTTGATGCCCCAAGCCTGTCAGTTTTTAGGAGCCATTTGGACAGTGCCCTTAACAACATGCTTGAACTTTTTGTCAGCCTTGAATTGGTCAGGTAGTTGGATTAGATGATGGTTGTAGGTCCCTTCCAACTGACATACTCTCGATTCCGTTCTATTCACCCAGTGAAAGTGGGACAAATTTGTAAGTAATAATGCTGAAATAATTACAAGAGTGATGTCATGATGGTGGTGATGAGTATTGGGAAGCCAAGTACCAGCAAATCTTCAGCTCAGAGAGCTGAACAGCAATGCCTGGCATCACTCTTACAATCAGTTAGAGAAGAAATACAGAATTATGTTTCCAACAAAACCCTTCCTTTCCTGTCTTGCCTCCATCCTATCAAACTGTACCAAATGTTCATATATAAATCTGATTAGACTGATTATCAGTCAGGGGCTCATCAGTGCCCTGGTCCACTTGCTACAAGAGATGATGCCTTTCTTCCAAGGAAGCATCCCGTACATGCAGTCCGCATAGAATGGTCTGCTGTGCCAGGGTGTGCTCGATGTTCCATCACAATTAATCTCTTGGAATCAGCAGGAGACACGTTTCATAGGTTATTTTTGCCACTGAACATCAGGACCTCCATACCTTATGTGTTTTTTTTTTTATAAGGCTGGGTTGAACATGACTTTCTTTTAGGTAATGTGGACCAGCTGTGGGTTGTGAAAACTTCCTTTGTGCTATTTTCTCTTTCTTATCTGTTTTCCTATTCAAATCTGTACATACCACTGTGGGAGTTTTATGCTTTTCTGCATGTGGGTTTTATTGCTAATCACAACAGAGATCACTGAAGGAGTGAGAAAAATGTAAGTTAGATACTGCAATCAATCAAGTACTTCTAATTCTCAGGCTTTATTGTGTTCAGCCTTTTTGGTTTTATGAATTGTCACCTCCAAATTACCTAAATTCCATTTTAAAAGGGAAAAAAATTTAGAGAGGTTGTTCATATTTGCAGATCTAATAATCCTGTCTTAAATTCTTCCATCTGTTTTGAGGCTCTACGTCTGATATGCTGCTGTTTCAAAAATTCCTTTTTTTTTTAGCACTATAATAAAACCCCATATATATATGGATTAGGCCAAATGCAAAACCATGTTGATTTTTTTAAAAAAGATTGTTTTCCTAAGTTAAGCTTATTTAACTTATACACTCTGTGGTTAACCATTTCCTGAAAACAAGCTTCCTTCTAAATAATTTTTATTTTTTTTTTAACAATACAGTAACCCAGAATAATCTGTTTGTGTTTTGTTTTTCCCTTAGCAAGTGAGATAAATTGCTTGAAAACCCAAAGAAAAAGAATGAAGTTTGAGCGGTTTCTTTTAATTTGCCCAGGTTTTGCCTTCTATTCCCAGTGTCTCATTTAATTTTGTACTAACACTTCCAATTTTCATGGGGTAACATTTCTCTTCTGTATTATGTGTCCTGGCTGGAGGAGTGTGGGGGCAAAACTCTGGGTGTTTCTCCAATAGATTCATGTGCTTCAAAGATGACCAGAGCAAAAAGCTGTAATAGGAGCTGAGAAAAGGCAGCATTGATACTACAAGCACTGTATACCTGGGCTACAAATAAGAATCACTAAATCCCTTCTTATCCTACCAAGGGAAAAAAAAACCCACTTTATTCAAGTTTTGGTGAGGCTGTTTACTGTGGGATAGCACATATATGTTAGATGATATTTCAATACTGGTGCAGGAGCTGGGAATGTATTATTCAAAGAGCTGAAACACCAAGCTGATAAATATTAAGGGCAAACCAGGAATCTTACTTTTCTTATTACTTATTTTCCTGCTGGGTTTCTGTCTGGGTAACATTCATGTGCAGGAAAATCGGTTGTGGGTGGGGGAGTGGGGAGAGGAACACAGTCAGCAAAGGGCCTTTTCTCCAGAAATCATTATATGACTGTGCATTGTGTACCTTTGCTTTAGCTCAGTTAAAACAGTGCAGGAAAAAGATAATTTAGAAATAAAGAAGTAGTGGGTTTTGGTGGTTGTGTGTTGTTTTTTTTTTATTTCAGCTCTTGACTTAAATTTTAAATAGGCTCCATCAGCATTACTTTCGAAAGAGGTTTTCTCAATGCAAGAACATCCATGAGCAGAATCTTCTGTGTAGTAACTACTTGTACATCGCTTGTTTGCCCACTGATAGTAAAAATCCAGGGAGTATGCAGGAGGAAAGAACTTGTTTGTATTAAACATATTGTATGGAAATGAAGGTGTTTGGGGAAAGCACTTATCAAACATCCCCTGTGTGTGGTACCATGGCTATACTAGACTAGGGAGCTACTGTACAATTTCTGGAAGCCAGAACTGGAAATTCTTACTGAAACTTCAGTCAGAAAAACTTCCTTGATATCAGTCACATTTAAGCCTTTGAAACTATATACATGTAATTTTTAGTCACTTTTGCCTAATTAGGGTCTTCTCTAGTCAGCTGTTTTGGTTTTAGTTTGTTTTTTTTTCCCAGTTGCTGAACTACACTGGTTCAATTTTTTTTTTCTTTTTTTTTTTTTCCTTGGTGCTCAGATGAGTATAGGATCAAACCAGTGGAAGAGGTCAAATACATGAAAAATGGGGGAGAAGATGATCAGAAAATAGCAGCCAGGAACCAAGAAAACTTGGTAAGGATTGAACTTATCGCTTATCTAATGAAATAACGTGGCTCTGCTTTTGTAATGAAACATGCAACGTGCAGCACATTCAAATTACAGCTTACACATGACTTTCTCAAAAATGTTATAACTCTCTGCAAAGCTCACATAGAAGGTGCAAAATGCAACTTTTTCCTGCCTGTCTTCCTGAATTAGGCTCTACTTGGTCTTGGAGTGAACGCTTCTGTGATTGTACTCGCTCATCTCCTTTGCAGATCTGAATATACGTGCTTTGAGATGTGTGTGTCTGTATTGCAAACAAGTTGGTAGTACAACAGCAGTGCACTGCCATTAAAAAAATGGCCTACTTATGCAGAGATTATTTGCCCTGCTTTTATGTATTTTAAAAGTCACACGGAATATGATTTGGCATAGAAAGAACAATATCTTGATAACATAGCAGTCGCAAGAATCATTTTATGTGTGCTTCTTTTTCCCTGATTTGAGCATCTTGCTGCCTCGTAGCACCACTTACGGGATGGAAATTACAGGTAAACTCTTAGCACTACTTGAAATAACTAGGATGCTGCTGAACTGGCTTAAAAATTACGGTTGAGTCACTTCTGGCATTTCTGAGCAGTTGTTTCTTCTCTTCTAAAGCTGAAGGAACACAGACTTTGTAATTGGCTGACTGGGGCTTTGCTCAGTTTAAATTTTTTGAAGGCATCCCACAATTATGATAGTTGGGTGCAAAATTTCACGTCTGGTTCCACTCATTCATTGCAGCTTTTCTTCATGTAGGATTGGTTGGGTTTTTTTCCCTCCATCCGTAAGACCAAAGGGGGAACATCATCAGCTGATTTCAGTGGAACCATAACCTTTATCACCAGCTGAGGATTTGCCTTTTGCCATCATTGGGCAGCTGTACGAAAATCTACTGCTTGAAGCAGGAATTTGTCCTTAATAAAGATGTAAGTGAGCTCCAGGCAACCTGGATACTTTATTTTCCTCTTCTAGACATCCATGTTTGCATTACACAACTACACGTGCGTTCCTGTAGTAAAAGGAGTTTATTTTTCTGTTCTAACCTCGTTGGTGGAGCAGTGGTTGGGCAGCACACAACACAATTTCTGCTTCAGTCTCTAAATTGGGTATCCGCCACCTGCAATTTTGCATTGCTAATGCTGCAGTGAATGGTGCAGCTTCACCTTGCAGCAGGATTTAGGGGTTTTTCTTTAGTGCCTCAGAAACATTGCTGAGAATATCACCTTTTCTAGCAGCGCCCGCAGTGCATTCAGTGTTATCACCAGTGTAAGCACATTTGGTTTGAACTGGGAGAAGTGTGACTGCAAGAATTTTTTGCTCGTTTCAGAGAACCCAGTGCTTTGTTGGTGAACAGAGAAAAAGCTAAAATGAGCACAATCCTCAGGATTTTTTTTTTGATAAAAAATGGGAAACGTCTAGCAGGTTAAATTTTAAACTAGCCTTCAGCTGTATTTAAATTAGGGTATTTGCAGAAGGTAACATGCCTCTTGAATGACAACGAGGAGGAGTTCAGGAAAGCTTAGTTCTGCTGAGGTGACACAGTCGCTGAAGTTGTATTCAAAACTCGATAGAGATATTTTGTACTTTTGTTAGTGCCTGCTTTCTTGTAGCACGTAAGTGTTAGCCTGATTAAATTTAGAAAGAGACATTTGTACAGCACAGTGCTCCTTATTTTATTATTGATGGGTCATGTTTGATGGGACCAGTAGGTTTGTTGGAAAATACAACTTAATACAGAGTTGGAGGGCTGATATTGCTCTCTTCTCTGTTATATCTACTAGGAGAGGAAAAAAAAAAAGACAATAATGCAAGGAAGTCTTCAGACCAGATGTATACTTTAAAACAAAAACCATCTTGCATACCAAAAAGGCTTTATTTTCCTTTTCCTCATCTTACTATAAGGAGATTACATTGTCTGTAATGTATGCAGCTTTTTAATCCTGGGAATTGTCAAGTCCTCATCACTCCTGGATTTTTTTAAAGGAGTTTCACTGTTCGACTTCTCCTTAGTAAACATGTTTTAGTTCACAGCTTAGAAGATGGGTTAAGCTACCCATCAGTCAGGCTTTAGTTTTCTTAACGTGTGAAAAGTTGGCAAGTGCTTACATAATCCCATCTTCTCATCAGCCATTTCCAGGCAACAGAAATTTTAGAAACAAGAAGAGGCAGTGGGAGAATCAACCAGCCCTTTAGCCTCCTCTTTCGTTTCTTAATCCCACATTTCTTTATTGTCATAGGGCTGCTAATTCTCATCTCCTTCAGAAGCACAGCCCAGATGAGATGTATAACCTGAATGTCATTGTAGTCAGTTCCCTGGGAACTGCTCTGCTGCAGGTTATCTTATCTTCTGATATTTGTGCCTGAATTATATTATCTGGATGCCATGGAATTTTTCAGTCCCATTATCATCACTGTTACTTTTTTAAGGTATTTTGAAGTCTTGCTTTAAAAAAAAAAAAAAATCTCTGCTCAAGTGAAAATAAAACTGCTTCCCTTATAACTTAGGCTCTTTGATGTGGTGCCATCTCTGCCTTTGGTGTTGCGGTATTTCTGAGTCAGGGAAAAAAAAAAAAAGGTAATGCAAATAGATAAAGAGAACGGGAGGATGTGGCAGACACCAGGCAAATTGTCATTTGGTACCAGGGTCCTATGGTCAGGGTCCCAGGCTCTTATTTGTTTAAGGAGAGAGCTAGAGATAGGCTGGTACAGGTGTGGGTATCCCTGGGAGAGATGAGGCTGTGTCAGAGCATCGCCATCTTCCCAGCTTAAGCTTCCTGAAGCTTAAGCAGGGCTCCAAATTTGAGCAAGGCTGATGTGGTAAAGCAGAAATACTCCTCAGATGTACTGACAAAGGGAATGGCTGTGCTAGGGCTGTATGCCAGCTGAAACAGAAGATGCTCCATGTGAAGACATTTTCTGCCAGAATCAAAGTCCTCCTTGAATTAAAACATAAGCTCTTGGCAAGGGGGGGACAAAAAAAAAAAAGAAAAAATGAAAAGATAAAAAAGCCAACCTGCTTTCAGATTCTGTCACAGTCAGTTAATTGTTTTCGTGCTGTTCCCTCCTATCCATAGGCCTGATGCATTTCTTCACCCAGGTTGTTCCTCTGATTCTCCACTTGCTACTGGGAACTCTCTGGTCCTGGTTTCATTCCTGGTACCTCAGCTCCCAGCATCTTCCCAAACGTCCTGCCTGGGCATTGCTATCCTCCAAATGAAGCCAGATGTGTTGCAGTTGGTGGGGAAAATCTTGAGCTGACAGTCACTCATCCCTGTAGGCTGCAGACAGGAATGGGATGTAGCAGGATTAGGTGCTGGAGTGCTGGGGTTACTCTGCACCACATGCTCAGCTAAAACAGAGATGTTTGGAGCCCAGTCTGTAAAGAACTAATAAATAGATGAAAGACAGAAGTCATTTCTACTGGTTGTCAGGACTATAATTTTTTTAATCATGAGGTTTGGCCTATATATATAAAAAAACATGGACATTTGTGCTAATTTTCAAATGAAGGAAGGTGGGCTGGCTTTGCCTGGGGTGGACTAGGCTCTGGCAGGGTTGTTGGCTCAGGCACAGCCACCGTGATGGTGTCTCCACACACAGCTTGCTGCCAGCCTGCCAAGGGAGGTGATAAAACCCCACATGTTAAAGCTAAATCCCAACCACCCAGGGATCCACAGCAGCTCAGCTGGGGCAGAGGTGAGCTCTCCTGCCTTTCCCCATCTTTCGTAGGGGGGACTGTGGGTTGTTTAAGGGGTTTATGATAAGGGTTCTCCAAAACAAAGAGAGTTTTACCAGCTTTGAGTTTACCACTCAGCAGATCTGGATAGGGCTTTTTTTGGCCCTAATAATATTTAGGGCTAATCATGGCTAATTACATATACCGTGTACCTGCTTTTATTACTTTGCAAAGCTAAAATGCAAAAAAGTTAGGAAGGAGTAGTATTGTAAAAAGCTGAATCTATAGCTATAAGTAGGGATGACTGGAATAAATAATGCATTATAATATTTCTGAAGACATACTCATTTATTGTTTGGAAAGGACTCACTGTTTAGCTCTACAGCATCATGTTAAGCACACAGAGTACAATCATAACAGCCTATTTAACATTCATAATTTAATTGTTCTAATTTCCATACTCTCACAGTACTGATGGCTTTCCATTGTAAAATTTTATTCCCAGAAAAGGTAAAGTAGGAAGGTGTGGCGTATTCAGGCAGCTTAGTGTTGTTTTGACAAACTTTATGAGCTGTATCAGTTTTCCTCTTAGGTTTATAATAGTGCAGATGTCTCTGAAAGTAGAATATACCTAAAGCTACATTTTTTTTGTGCTAGGTAGTTAACTCCATATTTATTGCAGTTCAGTTTTTTGATGTTTTTGTGACTTTTACTAATAGAAGTCTTCTTCTGGTCTGCACTGGCACAAAAGGCTACTGATGGGGATTTTTATGCCTTATTATCCAAGCCCTCAAAACAATTGGGCATAATCCTCTGGTTTGTCCTAAAGCGCCGTAGTGAAGTGGCATGTTAGAGCTTGAGATGAATTCCTGCTGGAGTTGGAGGAAAATTGCCTCTCTCCGTTGTTCTTGCTATCTCTCACTCTACCTTTAATAACACGAACAATGTTTTGTGGTGGTTTTTTCTTCCCAATAAGTATAAATTTCTACTCCACTTACCTGCAAATGTAATTTTTGTCAGCCTTACGTGTGCTGTTATTTCATATGTCTCAAGCTTCTCAGCTCAAACGCTGTTCTCCATTTATCATTCAGCTCCATAATACTTAGTATTGGAAAACCTCAGTATCCATAGTTCTGTATTCAACAGCAGTTGCCATTTTCTGCAGCGAGATGTTAAAAGTAGACAGTAGTATCTGATAGATGAAGTGTATGAATTACAAGCCTAGCAGAAAATGAGGAATGAAACAATTGTAATAGCTATATAAAATGTAATATGTGAACGGGAAGATACTGTGTATAATATAAATATT